TGGATTCAAATCTGAGACAATAACCTAAGTTCCTACTTTATTTTATTTAATTATAATTCGCGTTAGTGCGATGAGACAATTTTATTCTGGCTGGACGTTTCATGTGTAATTTAAAAATTTTGCATATTTGTTGACGGTCTGACACAACAATACTAGAATTCAAATTCCTTTCAAAAGTAATCTTCTTCAATCACTCAAGTTATTGTGACTGGCATATAATTACCAGATGATGTAGCGCATCTGATAGGGTTGTTTGTTTGAATTGGATAGCAATTGTATACACTCTTGAGAGCAACCATCTCCAAGATAATAAAAAAAAATACTGCTTTTGGGTGTATGATAAATTGACATTCATCATACAGGGCGAGGAAATAAATTCTGAATTGAGACTCTATCACGAATCTGCGATTAGAAGTCTATAAAAATCATAAGTTTCCATCGTTCAAAATTGTACATTGCACTTTGTGAATAACTATAAGTAGGTAGTTAATTTCTAAAAAAGTGAATTATCTGTATTTCGACATTACTATCATTATGTTCTTCTTCGCAGTTTGAGTTGGAATATTCTTAAATTATGTTTCCTATTTCTTATATATATTGTCTCATTCAATCATGAAATAGTCATACAACTCGTGATACTATTTTTCCTGGAAATATTCGTCGATTGACATATACTCCAGCTGTCGTAACAATCACCGAATATTTCCGGCAAAATATTATCACTTGTGGTATAATAAATGAAAAAATTTGGAATCGTCTATTTTCTTCTGGTTTGCTCGTTTCAAATTATTATCTTGAAATAATTCAACGAACAGACGTTTCTTATTTCGAAAACATATAAGGTAATTAAGTTAAATATAAACAAGGAAATATGAGGAAAAAACAGAATCTCTATTCACTCACCAACGTGAAAAATGCGAAGCTTCGATTAAACAACACGAAACACCTGAACAGCACACGATCGCGATAATGTAATTATGTGATGACTGAAGCTTTGATGAAACAACACGAAACACCAGAACAGCACACGATCGCGATAATGTAGTTTATGTGATGACTGAATTGAATAGGAATAGGATAGGAATACAAAAACACTACACTTGCACACATTTTCAAGTGAACACTACACGTTTGGAACGATAAATAATTCCTTTCGCGTATTTTTCAATAATTGCGAACACAAAAAATTCGACTGTACCTGATGACATCTAATATAAGACTGTCTTGCTTCACCACCTGGTCTCGAATGAATGACTAAAAGGTTGAATCATATGCTGCTAACCGATTAATCTCCGAAGAAATGATTCATCCATTACTAATGACGATAATGAAATTATACAGGGGGAACAAATATATAGTATACAAGATATAAGATGAAGAATTGAACACGGATATACTGGCACTATTATTTTCGAAAGTCTAACGATTTGAAAAAATTGAACACAGGCTGAAAATATAATTTTCACGAAAATCTCTAGTGATTTGAACGAATTATACAGTAAGAAGTAGTGAAAAACTCTAGCAAATTTCTCGAAGAGTGTAAAATGCACAAGGAGACATACAGGGTGTTTCAGATTTAAATATGTACATTTTGGTTTAGACTGCCAGGCTTCTCTACGAAGTTATTAGAAATAAGGTTGTGCTGAGTTACTACGAATAATACTACGTATAACCACCGAACATAAACGTTTATGTTCGGTGGTCTAACAGAGATAATTTCGCGAAGAATTTAGTGGCGTACTCAATTTATCTAGGGGTTATGATTTTGGAGATACGACATGTATTGTATTATTTATTATAAAATGACTCATAAAACTTATTTATACATAGGATTTCCAGAAATCCTAAAACACACTAAAACATCAGACTATGATGAATTTTTGCTATATAGTGGCCATGGAGTTTCCAAGTTTTACTTTAACGATTATTATGTCTGATTTACTATACAGGGTATATCACGACGAGCTTACACTATCTGTATATCGAGAATCATTCGGGAGAAATTAATGAAAAAAGTAGCAACAACTTTGTTATTCCAAATAGAATACCCTGTATTTTTATTCTCCCTGAAGAGCTGATTTCATCGATGCATCACACTTGGGGTCTATCGAAAATGATTACAGAGATATATAGGGTGTTCAAAATCGAGATTATTCTTTAACTTAACGTTTTGTTTCTGTCGAAACTTTTTTTTTAAGTTCTGGTTCCCACGAAAAGGGATATCCTGTAATCTCAACTTTTGATTTACTATTTACTGATATTTAATCGGAACAGATATACAGAGGATGATCAGAATTCTGAATCTTGAACCACACCCTCTGTATCTTATACAGGTTCCCTAACAACACGAGTACGTCCCAGGGACGTCCTTCATTTTATACGAGGACATCCCTGGGATATCCTGTGTCGGGACATGGTACATACTAGGGACGTCCCAGGTACATCCGCTTTCCACAAAAAGAGGCATCCTAGGGATGTCCTTCTGGTACGTCCCTGGGATGTACCAAGTACGAAAAAAGGATATTCCAAGGATATCCCAGACATCCCTTCGACAAAAGAAAAAAAAATGTAGGTCGAGTACGGATTGAACCCGGGACCTTTATTGGCTATTGAGCCTCCTGAAGATTTATGTACTAAACAGAAACCTGAATAAATACAACTTGAGGATTTGGGTATAATTATTATATCATTCTTGGGTGTTTAAAAATGAGCGGCATTATGCATGTACGATTTCTGTACCATTTTCAAAAAAATGCAACTTAATACTTTGATGAAATTCAATGACTCTGATGTGAGTGGATATCAGATATTCCAGGGACACGAATAGGATAACCTAAGGATGTACCGGGCGGGGTGTCCACGGACAACCACTGCGGGACATCCCCTAGATGCCCCAATCATGTCCTCGTACCGAGGGACAAAAAAGGGACGTACCTAGGACATCCCTGTGTTGTTAGGAGAGCGAACCTTCGAAATAGAATATATAAGAGCTCAGGAAACTGGTTCTTGAATCATTTCAGAGTATAACCCGAGAAATGTGGAATGTTTCAAATTCAACATGCTTAGAGGGAAATGGCAAACTTTTCGAACATCTCCATCAGTTTCGTATGTAACAATTTAGTGGTTCAAAGAGATGTTTCATTTGAGAATCTATTTATTTCTTCAATGTTATTTTTCATAAAATTATTCATTATTCACAAACTCCTATATGAATGCGTATTGATGTTGATGTAGAATTGTTGAATGTTAAATTCCATGAATTAATCTATTTTCACAGAATTATAAAAAACTATGTTTTCCAAAAAATAATTGAAGATGGCCAAAATACGCTCGAAACGCATCAAAACTACAATATGTAGCATACTGTCAAGATCAGAATGGAAAGGGCTTATCAAATCTGATTTAAAAATACTATGGTGGCAGTTTATGACGGTTGTTCGAAGCCGAAATGTTGGATCAGGAAATCGATAATGCCAAATTGAGCAGCATCAAAAGTTGCCATGAAGATGTTTTTTTTTTGGAAATAACTGGACAACAAAAAGTAATATCATAGATGTTTGAGTCATTTTGTTGGTCCTTCATTCGCGCAATCGCGACATCCCCTGGATGCCCCAATCATGTCCTTGTACCGCGGGACAAAAAAGGGACGTACCTAGGACATCCCTGTGTTGTTAGGGGTGTATTCGAATAACGCCGAAAAAATTCAAGGGGTGATTTCTTGTGATATTGTAGCTAATAAAGTTCATATAAACATCTGTCCTAACTTATTGCTCCGTTTTTGAGATACAGGATGTTGAAGTTGGAATAAGTATTAATTATTTTTATTTCTGACTCATCCTGTATAAACTTCCATATGGTACCAAAATTCAGTATGGTTGGAGACTGAAAAATCCCCAAAATTTCGAAATTATTGTAATTGGGGTTATTGAGTAATCTCAATGGAAGTCTTGAAAACACCTACATTAAATTTGGAGTCAAATCGAATTTTTATTGTTTCCTCAAAAACTTAATAGAAAAATCACACAAGGAATGAAAGAGTAAAAATCAGATGATTTGCCCCAAAATGTCACTGCGTTCAACAAATTTTTCTCTCAGGGAGCCTAAAATAAAAATCCAGTAGCTTGTCAGTGACACTTTTGTTAGAAAAAATGTTTGAAGAAAGGAAATATAGATATATTGAACAAATACCGGATGTTTACTTATCTTTGGACGTTTCGGGAACGAATCTACTACCGTTATCAACTTGAAAATGCAAAATATTTTTCTTTGGAAGTTGTGCTCTGCTTATAGTTTGACACTTTTCAGTGTCATACTGATGTTGGCATATGAATGAGTGATTTTAGTCTACAAATGAGTTACAGGATGTTTTCATCAATTGATCTTGAATCTACCATTTTTATTTTTGGGGCAAATCGCATCTGATTTGTCCCACTACAAATATAAATTGAAATAATACGCATATTTTTATTTTATAGAAACGAGGAGAAAATCCCAAAAAATCAAGTGAAATGAATGTACCACCTCCTCGATTAACCTACAGACAGTATTTAAAAAAAAAGTGGTTATTCAAATAGTTCAATCTAATGAAAATATGAAACTCAGAAAAACCGGTGGCATACAATTACATTCACCATAAATATCGATGAATTTACCCACTGTGACGCAACTGGAAATATTATTTCGAATCTAATTGCACCAGAAGAAGCTCCATATTACTATCAACAAAATCACAACGTTTTATTGAAATTGATGAAAAGACAATTGAGTAATGAATAAAAAAAACGATCTTTCATGGAAATATTATAATACCCTGTATCTCGAAAACGAAGCAAGCTAGGACATATGTTCATATAAACTTCATTTCCTTAAATATCACCAGGAATCACCCCTTGAATTCTTTCGGTGTTATTTAGATACACCTTGTATAAACTTCTACTATTTTTCTTCCAAGAATCTTTCTATGTAATTTCAGGACAACCTGCAAAGATATATAGAGAACTCCCACAAGATATATATTTATTATTCTAAAAAATAGTACATATTATTATCTCTCATTGAATAATGCTTTTCATTATCCAGTATCCGAACAGCGAGAATTTTGAGCTCTGTCAGGATAATCACAAACGTTCAATATAGGATTGAAATGCAACCCACTCGGGCAGTTGTGGACATGAGCAATTCCATTGGAACACTGACAAAATTTAGTACAATCCCTCGAAGGACCATATATGGAGTCTGGTCCGTCGATTTCAGGACATTCTGAAAAACAAATGAATAACTATAATGGTCAAGAACGAAAATCAAACCAAAATACTACGATAATAATTCAATAAGCCTGAATACGTATTTCTGCAACCGCAAGTTGCCATCTTCAGTAAAACTGAAAGCAAAATAAAGATTAGGTGATACTCTATATTTATGTTTCGAGCAATTCCCAGTGCGGGTTAAAAGGAACTGTGGAATATAAGGTCATCAAAGAATACAAAGAATTGCTTTCATTCGAAGGCTGATAAGGTTAATGCAATTGTAATATTAGACAAAACTGACTATTTCGAAAGGGTTGATACAACTTCATTGAAATAAATTACGTACTTCATTGAATAAAAATTAAAAAATTATATTGAAAAATTTAAAATGGATCCATATGTTAGACTGGATAAGTAACCTCTACATGAGCCAGAATTGTTTTTAAATAAACTTTTAGTTTATTTAACAATAAAAAGTGCAATCTGGATGATTTATTTGAATTTTGTGTCCATAGATTATCAACTTTCACGTTATCCGAAGAGGGGTACGACCGGGTTAACTAATCAATGTATTAAGAAAACTATGCATACAAATAATATTTGTGAATTCACCATTGAAGAAGTCACTCCATCTAATACAAGATTTGTGAAGTTCCTTTTTGCCCAAGTTACGAGGATATGAATTTTCAAATTGCGATGGCTGAAAAATGCCATTTAAAGAGTCTTCTGGGTTTTCTTGAAGATGAAATCTTTTGTGATGATGAGTTAGGTATTTATAAAATCAATGGTTATTTGTCATGAACAATTGTATCATAAAATATATTGGGAAAACACGTCCAAGCAAAGGCAGAAGATTAAGAGAACTTATTGCTAACTTCAGATAGTTTGTGAAATATTTAAACCTCTCAATAGGGAGTGTAGCCGAACCCACATAACACACACAATAATATCCTCAAATTAGTCAAGCAAATCAAGAATTTTAGAAAACTAGATGCTTATGAAAGCCTATAAATATCTAAAAATAGTGATACAGTTACGGATAGATAATGGACCTATTCCATCTAGCTCTCTGTATAGGTTTGTGCTCGGGTTAGTGTCTTTTAGAGTCACTGGATGATATTAGTGTGTCTTTTACGTTTGGGTGGACATACCTAGTATAAAAGCGGACAGTGTGTCCAGTTTTTGATGCTTTTGCGTGATATCTCGGTTATCCTCAGAGATAGAACCTTGCATTTTTCGCAGTGCTGTGCCACTTTTTTGTGAAACTCAAAATGACCTAATCAGAATCAGAAGTTTTTATATGAAAAATACATAGCCCACTATTAAAATCCATTGTTTTAGTGATTTTGGAGCATTTTTTGAAATTTCATATTCATACATATCATAATGTAGGAAAAAAATAAGGATTTCAATTAGATTATAAAATACAAGGTGCTCCATTTGAAAAATCATAATTTTGAGTCGAATCTCCAAAACCATACACCGAAAAAAAAATTGAGTGCGCCAATGGATTCTGGGTTAAATTCTCTATGGGATAAGATTTTAATTTGACATTTTCGGTGAGAAATTTCGTAGATATAGAGGGGGTCCCAGAAGTATGCATTCTTAAAATCGCTCTGTATCTCATAAACGGAAAAAGTTATGCAAAATCTGCTTAGACCATCTTCAGTTTCACAAAAAACTGGCGCAGGACCGGGAAAACCGCGAGGTTCTATCTCCAAAGCTCAATCAGTCAATAATCTGTATTATTCCTAAGAAATAACATTTGTTTATATCAGGAAACAAGGTGAATATATAAATGTATTCAACATAATGAAGTAGACAGTGAAATAAGACTAACACTCAAGAAGAAATCCATTTTTTTAGTTCAACTGAATATGATTCTTAATAGACTCAGCTGTTAGGTACTCAATAGAAATCTAAAGAAAAGATATCAATATTACTGGAGATGTTTCTTGAATTCTCTTTTAAAATTTTCAATCCTATTGATCAGCTTCAAGTTATTTGGTGGTGAAATGTATTGTATCAAAATCCATTGTTATAGATGGATTTTTCACCAATTTAATTTTCTTAACAGAAAAATGATCTGCTTGTCTACTTGTAATATGGTTGCGATGACTGATATATCACGCAAAAGCATCAAAAACTAGACACTATAAAAGGATATCTGGTTTAAATTTCCTCCTGAAGATGCTAACATAGTAAGCGAAACACATGCGTCGAGTCGTTATAATACGGAGTAGTTGATAAACCATGGTTCGAAGGATATCGAAGCTCAAAACCTTCTAGTAACTTTGGACGATATTCAATGAAGCAAAACTGTTCTTCTAACCGTGAAATAAGGCAAGATATAAATAGGATAATGCCTGTATTGATAAACACTATCGTTGGTGATTTATGGAGTCAGCTAATTTTTATTTTATTGCCAACTCTACCAACTTAGTTGCAATACGTATCTAGGCTTTTCTGAATATTATCGTAGAATTTTGGGTATATTTTTGTATTTGATTGATTAACCACAGTCTCCAATACTACACTTCAAGTATAAGGGTTAAAAATGAATTGATTTTATATTCTCCCTATCACTTACCCAACTCACAACCGTTTGAGTTGCTACCATCATAGCACCCTGCTCTATCAGGATAATCACAAATGTTCAATACAGGGTTGAAATGCAAACCACTTGAGCAGTTGTGGACATGAGCAATTCCATTGGAACACTGACAAAATTTAGTACAATCTTCCAGAGGTCCATATATGGAATCTGGTCCGTCGATATCAGGACATTCTGAAAAATAGAAGAATAGAATTTTCAAATAAAATGAATCCAAAATTTTTCTGTCACTTACGCAACTGACAACCGTTTGTGCTGATGCCATCTTCCTCGATTTCATTTTCACTTTCTTGATTGGAATTATCTTCACTTTCATTGTGGGTACCACCATCGCACCCTGCCCTATCAGGATAATCACAAACGTTCAATACAGGGTTGAAATGCAAACCACTTGAGCAGTTGTGGACATACGCAATACCATTGGAGCACTGACAAAACTTAGTACAATCTTCCAGAGGTCCATATATGGAATCTGGTCCGTCGATATCAGGACATTCTGAAAAACAGAAGAATTGAATTTTCAAATAAAATGATTCCAAAATTTGTCTGTCACTTACGCAACTGACAACCATTTGTGCTGATGCCATTTTCCTCGATTGCATTTTCACTTTCTTGATTGGAATTATCTTCACCACTTTCATTGTGGGTACCACCATCGCACCCTGCTCTATCAGGATAATCACAAACGTTCAATACAGGGTTGAAATGCAAACCACTTGAACAGTTGTGGACATGCGCAATACCATTGGAGCACTGACAAAACTTAGTACAATCTTCCAGAGGTCCATATATGGAATCTGGTCCGTCGATGTCAGGACATTCTGAAAAACGAAAGAATTGAATTTTCAAATTAAATGATTTCAAAATTTGTTTGTCACTTACGCAACTGACAACCATTTGCACTGATGCCATTTTCGTCGATTTCATTTCCACTTTCTTGATTGGAATTATCTTCACCACTTTCATTGTGGGTACCACCATCGCACCCTGCCCTATCAGGATAATCACAAACGTTCAATACAGGGTTGAAATGCAAACCACTTGAGCAGTTGTGGACATGCGCAATACCATTGGAGCACTGACAAAACTTAGTACAATCTTCCAGAGGTGCATATATGGAATCTGGTCCGTCGATGTCAGGACATTCTGAAAAACGAAAGAATTGAATTTTCAAATAAACTGATTCCATATTTTGCTTGTCACTTACGCAACTGACAACCATTTGCGCTGATGCCATTTTCCTCGATTTCATTTCCACTTTCTTGATTGGAATTATCTTCACCACTTTCATTGTGGGCACCACCATCGCACCCTGCTCTATCAGGATAATCACAAACGTTCAATACAGGGTTGAAATGCAATCCACTTGAGCAGTTGTGGACATACGCAATACCATTGGAGCACTGACAAAATTTAGTACAATCTTCCAGAGGTCCATATATGGAATCTGGTCCGTCGATATCAGGACATTCTGAAAAACAGAAGAATTGAATTTTCAAATTAAATGATTTCAAAATTTGTTTGTCACTTACGCAACTGACAACCATTTGCACTGATGCCATTTTCCTCGATTTCATTTCCACTTTCTTGATTGGAATTATCTTCACCACTTTCATTGTGGGTACCACCATCGCACCCTGCCCTATCAGGATAATCACAAACGTTCAATACAGGGTTGAAATGCAAACCACTTGAGCAGTTGTGGACATGCGCAATACCATTGGAGCACTGACAAAACTTAGTACAATCTTCCAGAGGTGCATATATGGAATCTGGTCCGTCGATGTCAGGACAATCTGAAAAACGAAAGAATTGAATTTTCAAATAAACTGATTCCATATTTTGCTTGTCACTTACGCAACTGACAACCATTTGCACTGATGCCATTTTCCTCGATTTCATTTCCACTTTCTTGATTGGAATTATCTTCACCACTTTCATTGTGGGCACCACCATCGCACCCTGCTCTATCAGGATAATCACAAACGTTCAATACAGGGTTGAAATGCAATCCACTTGAGCAGTTGTGGACATACGCAATACCATTGGAGCACTGACAAAACTTGGTACAATCTTCCAGAGGTCCATATATGGAATCTGGTCCATCGATTTCAGGACATTCTGAAAAATAAAGGATACAAATTATGTAAATGAATTCAATTTAATATTTTTTCTGTCACTTACGCAACTGACAACCATTTCTGTCGATGCCGTTTTCCTCGATTTCATTTCCACTTTCTCCATCGGAATCCTCATTACTACTTTCATTCTTGATACCACCATCGCACCCTGCTCTTTCAGGATAATCACAAACGTTTAATACAGGGTTGAAATGCAACCCACTTGAGCAGTTGTGGACATACGCAATACCATTGGAGCACTGACAAAATTTAGTACAATCTTCCAGAGGTTCATATAGGGAATCTGGTCCGTCAATTTCAGGACATTCTATGAACAATAAAATTTCATTATTAATCGTGGCCGAATTTTCATTGCAACGTGAGCAATTATTTCTCACCTATAATTTCTCTTGAACAAATGTGGACAGCATTCCTCCGTATTTCCCCAGTATTTTTGATATCACCTTAGTAAGACAAAAAAGTTGTAGTGGAAGTCGAATTGAAAGAACAATTCACTTTTATTATATTACAAGAGCAAGAGTTCAATAACTAGGGCCAAGGAATTTCAGACAATGGAAATCGATTTGTATAATGTTGTTATTGATCTCAGTACAGAGGCATAAAATTTACGAATCGTGTTGGATGAAAATTCGATATCGATTCATCAAGGAAGCTTCTACTGAGAAAAACAAAAAATGAAAGTCACTTTCGGCTTGACCGGAAGTGACTCTAACTTTTTCTATTTCAAATAGTACCCTGTATATTTTTGCAATTGTATCACACTTCGTATTTATATCTGATTTGATGGAGAAAACGACAATTGAAAATTCAAATTGAACGAATTGCAGTAGGCTACGATATTTTTGTAATCTTGATTTCGACTTCAATAATAATTTCAAATCATTAGAATTGTAGTAGATCATGTAATTTTCAAATTTCCATCTTTCGAAATGGCTGAGAGGATCTATTGGAACAGGTATACTGGGACACCCGGTAGAATAAAGCATAATATGAACACACGAAATCACGACATTGATTGAAATATTCCACAACACAGACTATATCTTCCACAGAAAAGTCTCCTGAGTATTATGTGTATAAATTAAGTTCTTCAATAAACTATGCCAGCAAATATCAAACAGAAAAATAATTTGAAAACATTTAAAAAATGTCAATTAATGTTAAAATAAATGTGGAACCATATTCAGTGGAAGAATATTTTATAAAAAAGGATAACTATATACAATTTTAAATTCAATGTTACAGTCTCGTTCATTTTGTATTTCAACTATGACGTAATTTTCTTTCATTGTATCTGATTTAATGATATGTTATGTGTATATATATACTTATGTGTTACTGAAATTGTGATTCTTGAAAATAAACAATTCCATTCTATTTTATTCCATTCTATATGTTCCAAAGGCTTATAAAAACATTGTATTTATGTATAACATTGTATGGAACGGCACCTGTGCCAATCACTATCCTGAGCAAAATGATTGAAAGAAGTGTTCACTCCATTTCGCGATTTTATAACGAGATGAGAATTATGCCATCCGATTCCAATTCAATATGGTAGATCTTCAATTTGCAGTTGAAAGATCCTATAGTTTGAACTAGGATTTTAATTTTCCTTCATGGAAATTCCGACTACCAGATCGAAATTGAATTTTATTGAACTTCAGATATATAGCATGGAATGTTTTCTTGTGAAACTTCCCCAAACTTAATTAGCCAACTCGCCTATAGGATTGGAGGGAGTGGAGTCACTTTCACTCCAAACAACGCATGGTGGTGTCTTTCATAAAACTTGTAAAATAATATACTATTTTCAGAGCTTTCCGAAGTATATTTGTGATGATACACACACAAGCAAATGAGCGTTTTTCAAACATTTTTGTATATATATATATATAAATATGTATTTCAGCTAGAGGGTATGCTTCTACAGGTTAGGAGATGATAGAATTATGCGTCGAGTGGTGTGAACACTGTATGATCGCTTCAAAATGTATTCCCATCAAATTTGAAATAATTCTATAATCGTCTTTCCCCAATCATGAATATAAAATAAAAAAAGGATGAATTATTCTTCTTACTGACTCTCGAAAGTGATTCCGATTTAATAATATTAGAAAATGACGGAGGAAGATATGCGAACTAAAAAAAAAAAAATCGAAATAAAGTCTGCATATCTCGAAAACGGCTAGACTGTATATAGAAAAGGCCTCGGGAAAGGCTATTGAAAATTATCCTATAATAACATGAGAAATCAGGAAAAGCAATAAAAAATACATATTGATTTTCATTTCCGGTATAACCGGATGTGCCGCCATCTTGAAAATATTTTCATTGAACAGGAATCAATCGATCGATAACTCCTGTGTCTACAAAGTTTCGAATTATATTGACACTTTTAGAACTACAACTAGGTACATATACGTCGTCTAATGTACGGCAAGGAAAAGGTCCGTATATTCAAAATCAAATCCTGAAATCAATCGAATTCCAATTTTTGAATTACAAGGGTACTTAGCTCCATCGAATTTGAAAACACGTAATGAGGAAAGACAACTATAATACTTGATAATACTCACCAGCTATAACTGTCCCCATCCAGGTGCAGTATGCAAATAAAATTAAGATAATCGAATTCATTTTTCAGGCAATAGGGAACATATATTCTGAATACAAGGTGCTATTGACTATAGGTACCCCCTCACTGATTGATTTCAACTAGGTTTATCTCATATTTATATGATCTGAACCAAAAAATAAGATAAAGATACAAAGGAATAAGTACCTACATGACCATAAATTATTTTTGTTTTATTATTAGCACATCTATCAATGCCATATTTTACTGAATAATAGTAAATTAGTTCAATGTATTTTTTTCTGGAGGAACACTGATCGAGGGAGAAAATATATACCGGGTGACACAGACTCATATGGTATATACCCCCTTTTTCTCATTTGTTTTTCTATACAGCTCTATATTTATGAAATTTGGAACCACAAGAGGGCACTTTTATACATTTTAGACTGTTTTTATCTTCCGGTTTTCCTGGAAATGACATCAATTTTCGGTTTCAAATGGAACACCCTATATTTTATTTCACAATCGATTTGAGATTATTATCACCATTTCAACGAAACCGGGTTTAACTGGGTTATTTCATACGATTACGGAGATATTCGCCTTCAAAATTACCATGTGCTCAATTATTAGTGAGACAGAGGAAGAAATTTAGATATTGTGCCGTCCAATCCATTGGAAACCCCATGGAAACTTTGAACGAAAATATCTTCCTAATCGTTTGAAATAAGTCTATCAAACCCGGTATAGTTGATATTCCCTGACTGATTATGGAATAAAATATAGGGTGTTTCATTTGAAAATCGAAAGTTGATGTCAGTGCTCTCTAGTAACCATATTCTATGTTTCAAATTTCAGAAATATATAGCTAGAAAAACAAAAGTGACAAAGGGGGAGTCTGTGTCACCCGGTATGGGTATGGAATTTTTTTTCGAACTTTTGGGAATTTTACGTAAATAACTTCTTGGGAATACTGTACGCACAGAACTTACTAAATGAATAGAAAAAAAATGTTGAAATTGTTTATCTGATGGAATATAAGTCTGTTGTTGTTTTATTCTCAGATATCAATTTCACAGTAGGAATCGCAACTCATTTCGGGCAAGAAATTCAAAACATAATTTGAAAATTTTATTTGAAATAGCTTGAATATTGAAAAAAGTAATGGTTTGTTTTAGTAAACAAATAATATTGATATAGGTATATATAGGAATATCTCTGCATCAAAAAATAAGCTCATTTAGGAGCGGAGAGTGCATTGGGGCATTAAGGACAGGTGCGGTAGAGACTCTGCAATTGTTTGTTTGTTTGAGATTGAGTTCTTTCATATCTTGTTAATTTTGTTGTTTATTTTTGTTGCTTCAATTTTTGCATATTTGTTCGTATTTGGTTTATATTTATCATCAACTCCTGGCTATAGGTTTCAATCCTGGATAATCTAATCCCGGATCTAGGGAGGTACTATAATATTTACTTCTCTGATGGTTTGTTTGATCGTTTTTTTCAATGTTTTTCACTGTTTCTACAGTTCTCAACACACTTAATGGACCACTCATAATTTGACTTTATTTCGAAGACCCGTATTTTTTGAAAAAAATTACCGAACTTCATGCGGTTTTCGATATCAGATGAGATGTTTCATCGTCTTCAAAGAGAGCTAGAACACTCTGGAAAAGTTCGCAGAACAACACATACACAGGGTGTAAAGTGGAACCATTACAATATGGTCTACATTTCCAATGCCGCCAAAACTCGAGATATTTTTTTCTGATCAAAAGTCAGTCATATTATGATACACTGGGACCTCATCTCGGGACGTTTTCGTTATTCCTCCTCAATTGGCCATTGGAACAAAAATTCGATTTTTTTTTCGAGAGTCTTGCATTTCTTGAATTTTTTCTCTAGAACTCCACTTGAGCTGACTATTGGGAAGAACTGTTCTCATGTTTTGTGGAGGACAATAAATGACGAAATAAGCACTATGGTGGAATATACAGGATAATAAGAAAATGAGACAAAATCTCATTTCAGTGGAAAAAATCAAAAATGGTGACTAAAACCATGGCCCATTCGATTCAGTATATTCAGAAACGGCCTTCTCGATATCCATTATTTATATTAGACTATCAACTCGAGACTTTAGAAAATTTGTCTATAATTGAAATACAGGATGAAAAATTTCAACTCAAATTTGTTTCTTGTTATCGATGATTTTTATCAACTGATTTCCAATATTTATTGCCCAAGTATGAGACTCAGAGTATTTTTGTTCAATATACTGAGTGTTTAAGATGTAAAACACCTGACAAATTACGAACTCTAGAAAACAATAATGTTAGAAGAATGTGGTGATCAGCATTATCTCAAGATCTGAATTTGATTGAACATGTGTGGAGCCGAATGAAACTTAACCTATCCAGAAGGTGAGAGGCACCCCAAAATAATGACAACCTTATCCAAGCTATATCAGAAGAATTGGAGGCAATATCAATAGACTTCATCAACAACCTCATAGAACCTATGCCAAACCGATTTCATGAGGTTTTGTTAAATCGGGAAGGCCCTACTAAGAACTGAAATTTACTTTTCAGTTAGATCTTCATAATGCTGAAGAATTCACTAATGTCATATTTCGCCAATAGTGTTAGAAATTTTATTTTCCATCTCGTTTTACCTCTACAAAATTATTATGTGATCGACTTCTTATGTAATAGTGTAGTTGTGGTTGAAATTTGTCAGATGAGTTGTGTAACACTTAGTATATTGAACAACAATACTCTGTGTCTCATACTTGGGCAATAAAAATTGGAAATCAGTTGATAAGAATCATCGATATCAGGAAACAAGTTTGAAATAAAAATTTTCATCCTGTATCTCAGAGGCGAATTTTTGAAAACGTCTCGAGTTAATAGTCTAATATAAATAATGGATATCGAGAAGGCTGTTTCTGAATTAATTGAATCGAATGGGCCATGGTTTTAGTCAACATTTTTGATTTTTTTTAATGAAATGAGATTTTGTCTTATTTTCTTATTATCCTGTATATTCCACGATAGTGCTCTCTTCGTCTTTCATTGTCCTCCACAAAACATGAGAACAGTTCTTTCCAATAGTCAGCTGAAGTGGAGTTCTAGAGGAAAATTCCAAGAAATGCAAGACTTTCGAAAAAAGTCGAATTTTTGTTCCAATGGCCAATTAAGGAGAAATCACGAAAAAATCCCGAGATGAGGTTCCAGTGTATCATAATATGACTGATTTTTTATCAGAAAAAAATTTATCGAGTTCTGGCAGCATTGGAAATGTAGACGATCGTGTAATGGTTCCACTTTACACCCTGTGTAAGTTTTGTTCTGCGGACTTTCCCAGAATGTTCTAGCTCTCTTTGAAGCCGATGAAATATCACATCTGATATCGAAAACCGCATGAAGATCGGTAAATTTTTTCAAGAAATACAGGTTTTCGAAGTAGAGTCAAATTATGAGTAGTCCATTTAGTATGTTGAGTACTGTATTTGACTGAAATTCTGGGCCTTGCTGATGACGTATGTATATTCTCCAAACTTATTAGATGATGTTCTTTATCAAGAAATTAAGAGAAAATTGCAATTTTGGGCATTTTTATGGCGGGAGAATCTTCAATTCAAATTTTTTCTTGGTGAAGGATTTACGGTGGAAACAGTTTTTCCAACGTAAACAAATCGTGAAAATGCGGTTGTTATACCTCCAGAGATCACAATTCTGTGTGCTCCAGATCCATTTTGTCATCCAAACCATCATGCAAAAACCAATTAGCAAAAGGGTTATTTCTATTAGGTACCCACAAAAAATAATATCGTTGAAGGTTATGGAGTATTATGAAGACACAAAACCACAGGTGTTATACAAAAAAAATATTGATCTCATTAACTTAGTTTCAAATTCGAATGTATTCAACCTTGAACAAAAAAGTTTCCCCTACCCCCTCTCTGGCACAAAGAGGTTTACTGAGGAGTTTTGTTTGTGCCAGTCTATCGTGTAGGTAATTGAATCTATGGCGGATGTTCTACGCAACTTATAAGATAAAGATATGTATATATATATAACTCTTTTTTTTATTATTATCTGGAAAGGGTTGAATTTATAACCCAATAAATTAATAATAGGCCAAGAGAGTTAGGTTTTGAACCGGAAAAAACGCGATAAGGTTAGATTATAGAGTACATAAATAATATACTCTGTAGTAGATTAGTCACCATATTGAAAATATTCAGGAAATATGGTACATATAAAGGGTGTCCCGAAATTACATAAGAAGATTGCAACCACAGATACTAGGAAAAAAAAAATTGTGAAAAAGTTCATATAAAAACATGGGTCCAGAAATGGCCTCCTTGGGGGTTATAGTCATCTGAATAAGCCCAAGATGGTGTTTTTTTGTAAAAATATGTTATAGAAACCTTCTGTGATACAATAACCAAATTTTGTACACGTACCTATAACTTTTTTTGTGTCCAATCTGGAAATAATACGAATTTTCCAAAATTTTGATCAGAGGCGTCGGAAATAGGTGGGGCTAGGGGCACTTTTTCCCACAACTGCTTTATTTATGCAATTTTTGGCAGTTTGACCAGGAAATATCTCGTTCAATTTCGATACACTCACCATTAATCGACTCTGAAAGTCTGCTACGTAATAAGAAAAATAGAACTTCTTCTCAATAGTACCTACCATGTTGATTTTTCAATATATATTTTCATTGCACCCTCCATGTTTCAAATCAACATCAGATTCAGATGGGAGAAAGTAGTGATTTTAAATGTTATCGCATCTAACGACCTTGAAAACAGCGAATAAAAAGAAAAGCACTATTTCTAGGATATTACGCAGCAGAATTTTAAAATCGATTCATCTCGAAAGAGGTGAATCGAAGGTAACATCATCATTTTTAAATAAAAATATTGAAATTTCCATATGTGATTGATATTTTTCTTTGTAATTTCGGGACACCCGGTATATCCGTTTTTTCGCAGAGACACCTCCGTCGCGTCATCGTGAGCTAGCGTTTCTAAGAGGTGATCATTTTCGTCATTAAAAAAATAATATATGACTCTGTATCCTGCGACCCCGCGAGGGTCTCGTTCTAAGTTTTTCTACGAGCGGATGCGCATGC